CGCGGCCGTGCAATAGCATTAAAGCTTTGGAACTTCGGAGGTGGAAAGAAGGGCTAGGAATGAGAGACAACATCGCTTTGTAACAGGGGAGATACTAAGCGATTGATGAGCTGGGTGCCGGTGGCTCAGCGCCTGTAACTCCCGCACTTTTGGCGAGGCCGGGGCGGGCGGATCACGAGGTCTAGGAGATCGAGACCATCCTGGCCAACAGATGATGAAACGCGCCCCAGTCTACCTACTAGAAACGTATATATTTAAAGCCGGGCATTGTGGCGCGCGGCCTGTGAGTCCGCAGCGATTCGGAGGTGGAAGGAGGGAATCGCTGACGCCCGAGGTGCGAGGCTGTGCAGTTAGCCGAGATTGCGCCACTGCACTCCAGCCGGGCGACAGAGAGAAACTCCGTCCAAAAAAAAAAAATATATATATACACACACACACATATATACATATATATACATATATACATATACATATATATATATATATGTGCGCGATCGAGCCCGGGAGGTTGAGGTTTCAGTGAGCCAAGATTGCACCACTGCTCTCCAGCCTGGGTGACAGAGGGAGACCCTGTCTCTAAAAAAAAATATGCAAGTAAGAGCTTTTCTTCCGGTGTTCATGCTCAGACTGAAGAAAGTAATTGGGCTGGGCCCAGTGGCTCAGGCCTGTAATACCAGCACTTTGGGAGGCCCAGGCCGTCGGATCGCTTTAGCTCAGGAGTTCCAGACTGGCCTGGTCAACATGGTGAAACCACGTTGCTACAGAAATACAAAAAATTATCTGGGCGTAGTGGTGCGTGCTTGTAGTCCCCTACTTGCATGGCTGAGGCGGCAGGATTGCTTGAATCCAGGCGGTTGAGGCTGCAGTGAGCCATGATCGCCCCACTTCACTCCAGTCTGGGTGACAAAGTGAGACCCTGTGTCAAAAAAAGAAAAACAAAAAAAGTAACTGATCTGTGTTTTTGTTTGATTTCCTACAGGATACCGAAGGACCTGTTCAAAGTATTTTCTGTAACTCCAACTGTAACTTGTTTCTGAGGAGGAGAGAATCCATGTTTGGTCAACAGAACTTTTCCCTGTCACTTAAGTTTACTGCTTCCATATCTTTTCCTTACTTGATTGTTAATTAAGTAGTGTCCAAGTGGATTAGCCTTTTGAGGGTTTATTAATTAAAAGAGAGCAGCAAGAATGGCATTTTAACTCTCCTGGTTTTTTTTCAGTTACTATGGTAACTCTTTTCAAGTCCACAAATGATTTGTTCTTATCTGTAAAGAAAAGGTCACAAAGATAAGCAGAGAGAGACCAAAGATAGGAATATGTGTAAGATTTCTACCTAAATGTAGTTTAGGAGTACACTAAGTAGTTCACTCCTGTAATCCCAGCACTTTGGGAGGCCCAGGCAGCCAGATCGCCTGAGGTAGCAACCTACAGGACCTGACGGCGATGTCCGGGTTACCGGGCTCCACTCCAAGGAAAAGACAGCCCTGCTCTAGGCACTGTACCGCCACTGTGACGTCCTCGAAGGTCTGCCTCTATGACGCCGCCGAAGGCACCCCCGCTTCACAAGCGGAGCCCATCGGAACTCGAGGAGGGGCTGCTGGGTCTTCCAGGAGCGCCCAGACACGGGCGCGTGGCCACGGGTGGCCACAGGTGGCCACAGGCGCTGGGCAGGATGGCAGCGGCCACAGAGCGGGCCCTTCCACGTCTGCAGGCTCTGGCCCGGCAGCCACCACCCATAAGCAATGAGGAGGAGCTTTATGACTGCCTGGACTACTACTACCTGCGCGACTTCCCTGCCTCAGGGGCCGGGCGCAGCAAGGGCCGCACTCGGCGCGAGCAGGCGCTGCGCACCAACCGGCCTGCACCTGGCGGGCACGAGCGCAAGGTCCTGCAGAAGCTCCTCAATGGCCAGCGCAAGCGCCGCCAGCGCCAGCTGCAGACCTGGCTGCGCACTCGCCCCACCTGAGCCTGGGTAAGGGCGCCCAACACCTCCCCCAACCAGGGCCCGGGGACCCTGGTAGCGTCCCCCCATCGCGCGACGCTACTCGCCCTAGGCAGAATCGGCTGCCTCTGAGGGAGCTGCATTAGGGAACTGCACCCGCCAGCTTGGCCTCTGACGGCCGTTGCAATAGCATTAAAGCCTTTGGAACTTCGGAGGTGGAAAGAAGGGGCTAGGAAATGAAGACAACATCTTTT